AAAGCTGTCCTTTTTTTTTTTCCTTGTGCAGTCTGTGGGATTGAACTCAGCAACTTTGCAGTGTTGGGATTCTCAGCTGTCTAGAAGGCTGAGGCAGGAGGATTACAAATTTGAACCCAGCCTGGACAATTAGTGACTCTATCTCAAAATTTAAAAAAATAAAATAGAAAAGAGCTGGGGATGTAGCTTACAGTGAAGGCAAAAATCATGCATTATAATTAATTGTATGTTTTATTAGTCTGTTTTAATCTAGAATATTATTTCTACTTTTTTCTTTCAATTTTTATTCAAAGTTGCATTGTAGAATATCTCATAATCTAGAATTTTCTGTTTCCTTATTAAATTCATATAAGCATTTTGGCAAGGTGATGTTATATGCTTCCCATTTAATTGCATCGATTCATAATGCCAGTATGTCTTATAAAATCACCTCTAAGAAAATTAATAATTATCTCTTAGTATCATCCAAGACCCATTCCATATCCAGATTTTCTTGATTGCCACAGAGGCATCTTTAAATGAGTGATCTGTACAAATCAGAATTCTAACAGTCTGTATATTTGTTTGTTATATTTTTTACATCTTATTCATTCATTTATAACACACATACAACCCTTTTTCTCCCTCAAGCTATTGATTTTCTAGAAAAGCTTGTCATTTATCCCATAATATATTTCATATTCTCAATGTCTACATTATTTTTTTTTATAAAGTTTATTTGAAAAAGTAAAAGTGAAGAGTGAGGGAGAAATTGGCTCTGTAGAGCAAGCTGGGACCAAGTAAAAGAGGAAAAAGCAAGATAAAGGACACCCTGGAGGATGCAGAACGGGCTATTTTGAGGAAAGCCCTGGTGGTCTGCGTTACTATTTTTTAAAAAATATTCAGTTCAACTTTATGCCTTAGGAAGTGAGGTACTAATTTATCCTTCCATTATGTGAAGTTTTTAACTAACCATGATTATGAATGAAGCTTGTTGTATTGTTAATATGGAAGAAGCACACAAAGTGTTGGCAAACCCTAGACCTTCACCTAAGCATTAGGGATTGGAATAAATTCCCAATAGGGATTTAGCTCAGTGGTTCTGCTGCCTGCCTCACAAGTGCAAGGTCCCAAGTTCAATCCCCAGTACCCAAAATAATAATAATAATAATAATAATAATAATAATAATAATAATAATAAAAGTACTAATGTAAAATAAAGAAGCAAAGTAAAATTTTTCAATTTTTTTTTTTAATCTTGTTTTGATTTTTGTTTTTATGTTTTGCAGTACTAAGAATAGAACCCAGGGCCTCATGCGTGTTAGGCAAGTGCTCTACCACTGAGCTACTTCCCCGGCCCAGTTATGTAATATTTAGATAACAATATCACATTTTTGTTTTGTTTTGTTTTTTTTGCTTTTTTTGGTACCGGGGATCGAACTCGGGTACTTGTGCTTGCGCAGCAGGCGGCAAAACCACTGAGGTAAATCCCTGGCCCCACATTTTAAATTCCAAATGAAAATAATGACACAGGTTTGTGTTTTTCTCCTTATAAATCTATAGACATCAAAATTTATAAGATCTTCAGATATTCCAGCAGAATTTATAAGAAAGAATGTTAAATTACGAGGACGATTACACCGGATAACTGAGAATGGTTTAGAAATTGAACATATTCCCATCACTTTACCTATTATATCTTCATGGAGAAGTAAGTAAGATGCAAAAAAATAAAACTAGCTGTTATTGTTATTACTATTAAATAACTAGATGTTACATATAAAATTGAAAAAATGGCATTTTAAATCCTGATTACCCTCCTTTGTCTGTGAGAGAAAGTCTGAGCCCTTGTATACAAGAAACTATTTAGTTTGGCTCCAGGGTTCCTTTCTTCCTTCCTCTCTTTTAAATTCAACTCCTCAGTCTTTCAGGCATTCAATTGTTCATCCCATGGATATTGACTGTCCTTTTTTTTCTTTTGAGATGAGTCTCCCTAAGTAAGTCCAGTCCAGGCTGGCCTTGAACTCACCATCCTCCTGCCTCAGGCTCCTGAATGCTAGGATTGTAGATACATGGTGTCACACCTGGCTTTGACTACCTGTTATAGTCTAGGTCATGGTGATGACAAATCTTTTTTTTTTCCTTTCTTTGATACTGGGGATCGAACTCGGGTCCTTGGGCTTGCGCAGCAGGCTGTGAAACCACTGAGCTAAATCCCCGGCCCTGATGGCAAATCTTTTAAAGCTTTCAATGATGCAAACAGCCTGTTGTGGCACTCTTTATTCACTGGATCTGACTTTATATGACTTACGGCTTTTCTATAAAGTCCAAATGACCATGTAAGGTACATTATTTTGAATCATTCAGGACATTGAGGCAGGCACACCACCACAACTAAAAAGACACTCATGAAAGAGGATTTCCAGAGCTGCTTCAGAAAGTGGCAAGAACAATGTGATAAATGTGTTTGAAGCAAGGGGGAGTATTCTGAGGGAGATTAATGACAACATGTCTTTTACCATAATAAATTTTTTAAAAAATTTAAATGGCTATTATGTCTCTTCATGGTAGCCGACCTTACACCGTTGGTTGTATTTTTTTCTCCCTTTTTCCTATTTTCACTTGGGTCATACTCTTCGGAGCTTATTTTTTTCCTACCTTTAATAAATGTGAAACTTTGCCACCATTTAAAAAAACACATCAACATTCACCATATTTTATTGTCACACCTCCTAGAGAGTAGTCAGAGAAGGCCACAGTGTGGAGTTGCTATTTAATCATAGACCTGAAGAATGAGAAAGACTAGCTAGGAAGAGCAGAGATGGAAACATGCTTCTTGGCCTGCACTCTGTAGGCAAAGATGGGGATCTCTTGAGCCATGGATTTCATGGCCAGCCTCGGCAGCATAGCAAGATACTATCTCCTAAAAACAAATGAATAAATAAAATGAAATACTGTTATTAAAGTTAAATTGGTTAAAATTTTATCAAGGGTTTGAGGAAATAGATCTTCATACTATATTACCTTGAATATAACTTGATAAAATTCTTGTCTGGAAGGCATTTCACGAAGTGTTTTAAAAAGTAATGGTATTATCATACATAAGAGAATATTGTTATTTTGTATAAAAGCCAATAGTAATTAGAATAATAATGTAGATCAGTATTTTTTGACATGGGAGGATATCCTCAGTAAGTTAACAGCTTCATTTAGATGAAAAAGCAATTTCTACAGTTCTAGTAGTAACAGCTCCCATTATTACACACTATGTGTATAGCTTTACGTGTGTATGTGTAGGAAAAAGTCTAGAAGGTTGAGAAAAGGTTAAGTTGATTAAATGTCTTTTCCTGATCCAGAGCTTACAGAAATGGGCTTTTGAAATTATTCCATCTGTTGTATGCTTGTATTATTTAAAAGAAATCTTGAATATAGAAATAAATGAGGCGGGGGCTGGGGATTTAGCTCAGTGGTTCTGGCGCCTGCCTTGCAAGCTCAAGGTCCTGAGTTCAATCCCCAGTACCAACAACAACAACAAAAAGAAATAAATGAGGTGAGGCATGGTGGTGCATGCCTGTGATTCCAGTACTCTGGGAGGCTGAGGCAGGAAGATCACAGGTTCAAGACCATCGTGGGTAACCTAGTGACTTAGTGAGATCCTGATCAAAATTAAAAAAGAATAAGGATGTAGTAGCTCAGTGCAAAGGCCCTGGGTTCACCCCCAGTTCTGCAAAAAAAAAGAAAAAGAAAAGGAAACAGACCTATATTTAGAGAGTCTGAGTATTTATAAAGAAGCATCATATGTTGGAGTTTTTTGGGGTATTGTGTGTGGAGGGTGGTGAATGGCTTTAGAATTTGCTTTTGTGACATGCTCTTAAAGCTAAACTCTTTCTACCTGATCTCTTTAGAAGAGCCATGTGGTGTTTTGCTGGTTAAGTTGGCTGGAGTAGAGCTCACTGAAGCTGGAAAGGTATGGATACAAAAAGAGCTCAAACCTTCCCAAGTACTATGGTTCCAACTTCTTGGAAAGGAGAATTCAGTGCTCTTTTGCTACCTTTTAGTGAATAAGGTAAGTAGTATGAAGAAATAACTGAGTCTTTTATTTT